AGATAGATAGATAGATAGATAGATAGATAGATAGATAGATAGATAGATAGATTTATTGGCCAAGTGTGATTGGACACACAAGGAATTTGTCTTGGTGTAAATACTCTCAGTATACATATATATTAAATTATATTAAATTTGAATCCCATTTTATATTAAATATAAATTATATTAAATTTGAATCCCATTTTTTCACCATGTTCCTTAATTTTTATTGCTAGAGCCTGCAGATCCTTTGGGGTTTTGCTATTAGGATAGTGTTATCAGCATAGTGCAAACTATTGACATTTTTTTCCCTTTCAGTGTTAAAACCATGGTCATTTTCCTCCAGTCCATCTTTCCTTAATATATATTCAGTATGTAAGTTGAATAAACAAGGGAGAATATACAGCCTTGTCATATTCTATTGCTATGTTAGAGCTAATCTGTTTTACCTTGTTTTTTCCATATTGTGGTTTTCTAATGTGTATATAAGTTTCTCATGGAGGCAAGTTACATGAAGATGATGAGTGTTTATGACAGATGGATAGGTGGTATGCTGATTTGCCTACCTGTTATAAAGTTTGCAGATATCCTGTGCTATCTCAATCAACTTTAGATGGTCCTGGGGAAGAGATAATGCTTGTGGTTCATTCCCGCCCTGAAAACAGAAAAATAAAACTTTATTTTAGTTTGTATGTGTTTTGCTTTGCTTTGCTTTGCTTTGACTAATCACTGACAAAAATAAATATCAGTCTATCTAGATAGCTAAGTAGCAGATTGTATTATAGAACTGCTAAGGTAACACTTTAAGGAATGCTACAAAGAGATTTAGATTCACAAGACATCGGGGAATGTTTTGGGAGAAGTTGAACCTATAGAGGAGATGCTGGTCCTAAAATGGAAAACATGAAAGGGAAATTTTAAAACAGATCTGTAGGAGAAATCCAGTCGGTCCTGGCCAACAATTTTGTCAGTGATGGAGTTGGTGTCCATACCAAAATATAATAATGATGATGCTGATTCTTGGTTGATACCTAGGATGCTGGCAGCAACCCGTATCAACCATCAGTGACAGGCAGTGATATTTAGGATACATTTTTAAATGTTCGGTTGACTGAGTTTCATGTTTAATGAATAAAAGAGATAATAATAGAATGAGACAATCATTCCTGAGTACAGATTTGACCTGAATACAGGAAAGAATTGAGGTGGGAGAGATGTTCCTTAAGAAAGCACTGGAAGATCAGATTCCTGTGATGAAATATTACAGTTGATCCTGAGAGAATACAAGGAATTTGGAATGCATGCAGAGGAGAAGTTATTGTAACAATGGGAAGTCTCAGTTATCTGGGAATAGATTGGGGGCATTCATGCATGGATCATGACAAAGAAGCCAGACTGTTAAATAATTGTAGGTGATTGTGACTTAGAATAGTCTTGGAACCAGTTAGAGGGGAAAGAACTGTACGCTTAATTCTAAGTGGTGTCCAGGATCTGCTGTGAGATGCAGCTGCTGGGAACTGATTCTAATGTTCTTAGATACAGCAACCACACAAATAAAAAAGTGCTAGTAAGGTCCAACATTGATGACTAAGCTGGGAAGCATTTCAGAATGAGAAAACTGGTGTGTGTGGTGGTGGGGGAAATGCACCAAAGGGGAAAAGTGAAGAGACTCGTATCACTTGATAGTGCCTGAAGGTTAATTAAAACCATAGTAACTAATTCTCTGCCAGACCGTACTCTGCGTTAGAAGAACAGATCAACCAAATGGAGGAACAGGCTAACATGGCTTCCTGGGAAGCCATAACAGTTAAGAAGTCATCCTTCCAGATAAGGAAAAATTGTAAGGAAAAAAAAGGAGCCCAAACTCTGATCAACACCCTTCCCTCCAAACATAAGCGATGATAAGGACTGCAGAAATAACATTTGAAGAACATATGGCAAAAACTATTAAAGGAAACAAGAATAATTTCTTTGCATATATTTGAAAATGAGCAAGAGAACAGCTGGGCTGTTGGAGGACAAAGAAGTGAAATGGATGTTTTAAGAGATTATGAAAATTGCAGAGAACCTCAGTGAGTTCTTTTTGCCTCTATCTTTACTGCAGAGGATACAGAATAGGTACCTGGCTTTCTGTTCTCAGGGAGGAAAGAGAAACAGAGCAAATTGAGGTAACAAGATAAGCTATTTCATGACACCTCAATTGAATGCACTATAACCAATCACCAGTTTCTGATGACGTCTGCTTTCAAACTGAAATTGCTGATCTCTTTATACAAATATGTAATATCTTACTGAAATTAATTGTGGTGCTTTAGAACTGGAAGCTAGTAAGGGATAACACATAACAGATAATCAGAAGGGTCCTTGTAGGTCATCTAGTCCAACCCCTTGTCCAAGCAGGAGACCCTACACCATTTCTGACAGATGGCAGTCCAATCTCTTCTTGAAAGTCTCAACTGATGGCGCTCCCACAACTTCCGAGGGCAACTTCTGTTCCATTGGTTGATTGTTCTCACTGTCAGAAAGTTTATTAACCTTATTATTTTAAGTTTATTTACCTTATTATATTACCTATTTACCTTATTATTTTAGTTTATTAACCTTATTAACCTTATTTAACCTTATTTCCAGGTTAAATCTCTCCTTGTTCAGTTTTCATCCATTATCCCTTGTCTGGCCTACAGGTGCTTTAGAAAATAGCTTGACCCCCTTCCTCCCTGTGGCAGCTCCTCAAATATTGGAAGACTGCTATCATGTCTCCCCTGGTCCTTCTCTTTACTAGACTAGCCAAGCCCAGTTCCTGCAACTGTTCATTGTATGTTTTAGTCTCCAGTCCCCTAACCATCCTAGTTGCTCTTCTCTGTACTTTTTTATAATGTGACCAAAACTGGATGCAGTACTCTAGGTGTGGTCTTACTAAGGCTTTATAGAGTGGTATTAGTACTTCCCTTGATCTTGACTGTATCCCTCTGTGAATGCAACTTAGGATTGCATTAGCTTTTTTGGCAGCTGCTGCACACTGCTGGCTCATATTTAGCTGGTTGTCCACTAAGTCTCCAAGATCCCTCTCACAGTTACTGCTATTGAGCCTGGTTTCACCTGGATCCAGAGGAATTCCGGAAAATTTCTTTTCTATGTGTTTGAGGCAGATTGATAGAAAGGCATATTGTAGAATTGCAGCTTCATTGCTGGTTAAGTAGCATAATTATATATGGGTGTTTAATGATAACAATGTGCAAAATGAAATTAAGTTCAAATAAAGATGCATTTTCATGAAAGGAGTGAACAGCCATAACTGTTTGAAAATAGATCTCAAATAAATTGCTGGTTTCAGTTTGAAATGTGAAAATAAAGTGAAACATTTGAGATGAATTTTAAAATATATTTTGATTTTGTTTCAGTTCAGCATATGATACCAAAACAAGGCAGAAGGTGGCAGTGAAAAAGCTTTCAAGACCTTTCCAGTCCCTTATTCACGCTCGAAGGACTTACCGGGAGCTTAGATTACTCAAGCACATGAAACATGAAAATGTGAGTGGAAAGATTGTGTTATGTAAACCTCCAATAGAAATGGCAATTTGTCTTTTGTTCAGTTTTACTGAAGCAGTAATCAGAAAATCCCACATTCATATAGAAGGATAACATATCCTGAACACTTGTTACGTTGTTGTGTATCCTCAGTTAACCTTACATTCAAGTGAAGATCAGCTTTGTGGTTCTAATAGAACAGGGATGTCAAACTCAAGGCCTTGGGGGCTGAATCCCCTTAGATCTGCTTACATCTGGCCCATGGGGCTGCCCTGGAAATAGTGAAGGACTGGCCCGTGATGCTTCTGCCAGCGAAAACAGGCTCCCAAGCTCCGTTTTCAGCAGTCACAGCTTCCTGCAGCTCTCTGCCAGTGGGAATGGAGCTCCATTTTCACTGGCAGAGGGTTGCAGGAGGCCGTAGCCACTGAAAACGGAGATTGGGAGC